TTCATAAAAATCACTTGGCATTCAATTATTACTGAAGTTAAATAAGCTTCAGAAAACTTCTTGGCACCTTGTAAGTATTCAATAAACAGCCCAGTCCTCAGAGTCAATATCCTTATTCATAGATTTTATATTTGCATATTTGCCTGTTCAAAACCAGTGTGCTGTGTTTTTACAGTCATTGGCACACATGTGCAGAGCACTGAAAAAGTTTAAAATACACACATTCTGAGCTGAAATCACTGTTATACAGCACTCACAGTGTAAACAAGTGTACTTTTTGAGATCTGTTAACGGTGTGACATTCACATTTTTTGTTCAGTTTTTGATGATTTTGCTATTAAATTGATCACAAGGAAGCTCCAACCCCACGATGAAGTGCTGCCTAACGTTCCCAACTACAAGAAGATTGTGCCTCACAGGGAAAATACATGTATCAGATAAGCTTTATTTAGATATAAACTATATTGGGTTACTGGCTGTGAGTTCAGTGATAATGAATCAATTATATCTTTCTCCTTCCACTACTTACTAAACAACTTCTCCAAAAAGTGGTTTTCATTTCAATCCATCACAATTCCTTTCACAAAATCTCACTGTAGGACTCACACCTCTACCATATAAGATTCTCAAACAACTAAATAGAGGGATTTGGTCAGACGTCAGGATCAGTGGCAAGGGGCTCCCTCAAGATTTGTAACTACTTTCTGGGTGTTGGTGTCATTCTTCCCATCTCTCTTTGCAGTTTGATTTTCTCTGCAGTTTCTGGTCTACACGGCAAGAAGCATGACTGCCCATAGACATTGATTTTCACATTCTACAATCCAGTACCCAAGCAAGACTCTCTCAGTCTTTTCTTAGGTCCATATATCTCAAGAAAGCTGGGATCAGGTGCTGCTTCTCTGGAAATTTAACTGCAGCTAGTGTGAGTGTGCATGCATGTGCGTGTGCATGTGTGTGTGTGTGTGTGTGTGCATGTGTGTGGTACTGACAGTTATTCCAGCTATAACACAGAGCTGCACTGACTGATGGTAGCGACTAGTCATGTGTGGCTATTTACGTCTAAATACAAACTTAAAGTGAATAAAATTTAGAAACTCAGTGACCACATTAGTCATATTTAAAGGCCTCAATAGCCACACATAGCAAGTGGCCACGGTAATGCACAGCATAGGTAAAGAGTGTTGCCACCAACACTAAAAGTTCTACTGGATGATACTGCTATAGGAAAGAGACGTTTCTCAGAACAGGAGTGCAGGTGGGGTTGGAGGAGTGTTTCTAGGCAGATAAATCAATAGCTGTTTATTACATCTTCTCTGCAATAGTTGATAAAAACTGATCTAGTTCCCTTGAGATAATTTCTTCCCTGGAACTCAGGATCTTTTTATATTCTTGCAATTGTCCTGTGATCCTTTCCCTCTCAATCTTCACCCTCCCCTAGGAATCTTGGAGACTATGCCTGTGGCTTTTAATAGCTGTGTATTGATTCCCAAATTTGCATCTCTTCCTTAAACTCCTGAGTTCCATACCACAGACCCAACTGCCTACTTAACATCTCCATGTGGGTATCAGAGGCAACTTGGCATTGGTATCTAACAAATCTCCCCCATAGCTCCTCCTCCTCCTTTTACTCCATCTCATCACACAACACCTCTCCCTTTCCAGATTGTTATGCCAGATGTCTTCTAAACATTATTGGCATCATCTTTCAACCTCACTTAAATAGAGTTTCCTAATCTCACCACATTTTCCTCCATTCTAATGCCACTCTTTTCTTTCAGATTCCTCTTGACATTGATTCAACTTTCTTTCCCTGATGCAGTGTCATCTTCTCAAGGAATCTCTGCTATCCTCTGATGTGGACTCTACCTTTTACTTTCATCCCACATTGTGCTTTTGCTTTTCGGAAAAATAATAGGTTATTGTTATATTTATACAATATTTACCCTGCCTCTTCTGGATCAATAAAGGCAAAAAGCACATGTGTCTAATTCTGTGAATATAATGTGTCTAACACAGGGCTGGGCACTTAACCAGCCCTCAGTAACTATGGTACTTACTAAAGTTTGAGAGTACATTTTTGTGAGCTTTATGAACTTGTTCTTATTTTTGGCTATGGACATCCTCCTGGTTTTGTCCTTATCTTCTCCTAGTTGCAGATTTGTCACTATAAGGGTGACTTTTAGTCTCATCTGAGAGATGTGCTGTCAAAATTGACCTCTCCTTCCAGCCTCCCTTGTTGTCCCAGGAGAATACTCTGAAATTCTAACTGGTGGAACTCCGTCCAGGTTAGTTCAAACCTGCACTCTTCCCCCGACCCCCATAACTGAGGCCTTTGGATTCTTCTGTTAGCATTTCTTATAGTCCTAGTTCATGCAAATTATACTTCTCAGGCATTTGCACACACAGCTTGCACAACAACAGGAGAAACATCCCTTCCTGTCTCAGAAGTCTCACTTGTATTTATTGTCTCACTTGTAGCACTTCAAGGAGCCCTATCTATAGCTTAAATTCTGGCCATTTTCCAAAGTGCATAATCAGGCAATTATTCCACTGGAAGAGACCGATAGGACATCTTATGTATTAGGTTTTGTAAAGGAAGAAACACAGGTCCAGAAATTGGGAGACTAATCACTGTGATCAAAGTCTCACTTTCTGCCTAATTCTTTATGACACCAAGTGCTTCTGTAGCTTCCTCTCCTAAATATGAAAGGCTAAACTCCTTTGCTAGCCATCTGAGACAGTATAAGGTACTTAACAAATCTAAGTTACTACCAATCGTTCTGCTACAGATTCCTATCCTTCCCTTTACTCCACAGTTTTGAACTGAAATTATTTGAATTTATTATATGTATTCTTTGCTTTCACCTTAGGCATTTTGTTGAGATATCTTTCTTTCTGTTTAATCCCACTTAGAATATCTCTGGTTGTATTTTCTTCATTGATCTGATTTGTGTTTTGAACCCGAAAGCATGCCTAATACATAGTGGACTTTAATGTATTTGGTGGTGAATAAATGAACTAACACAATACTTTAGAGAGTTTCCTCCATATCAACTGTGGCTAAATTTCCTTTGACAGACCTCAGTAAGCAGTTACTATCATATTCTGAAGTCTAATCAAAATGGACAATATTTGAAATATTTACACAAAGTGATCCACTCTCAAGAAGCAGTATTTTCTTAAAACAGTTGGTATTTGCATCCTACTAGTTGCTCTCTTAGGAAACTGTGCATTTGCTTTCCTCAATTGACCCTACCTCCTATAACTCCCCAAAGTAGCCATCAGTATCTCTGACGTGAAGATTTGGTGGGTAGAGGCTGGTGAGAAAGGAAAGCAGTACGAGAGTCACAGGGAGAAAAATGAAAGCCTAGAAAATACTAGAAGGTGGAAAACAAAACATTTGTAATTGTAGGTATCACTTAAAATGTAAATTAAATCCTAGAATGATTTCAACATTTGGTTTCTGGATACAAAATTTGGCAAACAGTATCTAACATTTAAAAATAATTAGAGAGCCAAATGATTTTGTAAGAAAATGAAGATTGCTTGGCATATAACTTGTTATGTTGAGTATATGAACCTTCATGACAGACCCAGCTCCACTCTCTTCTACTGTGATCTGTTAAACAGTTTGTATATATTGCCACAGAAGTGAAATTTTAAAAATACATAAAAATTAATTTTCAGCCTTGGAACTATAACTTAAAGAGCAGGAAAAGCCTTCTATTAAGCAATTAGTTACTTATCTGTTGATGTCTATTTTATTTAAGCTGTCCCAGAATGCTATGTTAAGTTTAGAAGCCTGAGTCATATTTAACTTTATCTTTAAAAACAATTGAATGTGAGCAAATGTCAGTAAAATCATCAAATTATAAATATCTACCCTCTGACATAGTTGATCAGGGCTGTCAATAAACAAAAATGTATTTCCTAGGATTCGAGGCATGAATACTAATCTACGAATTTTAACTTAATATTTTACCGGAGAACCCTAGGAGAATATGAAACCATTTGGAAAACTGTTGAATTATTCTTAGAGTAAAACTGGACATATTCACATTTGGGAAATGAAATAAAATTCTTAATATATGTGCATTGAAATGCTGTTTACCTACAGTTATGATTTTTTACATAAAAACTCAATTTGGATTAACTCTTATGCACAGAGTTGTATCTTCCTTCCCCTACCCCTCCCTCAAACTCTGACTCATAGGTTAACCGGTGTTTCTGATGATAAAATTAATTCCTAGCAGAGAATACATATATTTACATTCACTTTCTCCAAGCAGCCTAAAACCACTAAAGTTGCAGTTTACTTCAACACTCTGCAGCTGTTATTTTACCTTCCATAGGACATGTTAATAAAGACTAAGCTTAAATCAGAGGCAAAAATTCTTGCAACTAGAAGACCTGTCTTTAGGCTCTGTATTCCTTTATATGTCATATACCAAAAATGCTACAGAAAAATAGCTGCTAACTTGTTCCTCTTAGCTGGCATCCTTGACCTAGGAGCAGGGGTGTATACCTGGAGAAGACAGTGTAAAGAGGAAAAAGGAAAATGTGGTTGTGCTGTTGGAGGTTTCAGGCCCCTAGGAAGAAAAACAATGGGAACTCTCTTAGGTAGGAAGTCAGAGGAGAAGGTAATTAATTAGAAGGACCATGGAGAATAAGACAAATGGAGACGTCAACAACAGGAACAGCAAGAAAACAAAACCCAAGTTCCATCTCACTCCATGGCTTATGACAGGGACACAGTGGCAGCTTGTCATCTGGGAGCAGGTGTTCACTCTTTTCAGCCATTATAAAATGGAACCCTCACAAATCACCCAATCTTGTCACTCCAAACAGTTATATGCATTTGCAAAAGTGTGTTTGTAACACTATGCCTTTAAAAATCATGTTAGTACTAAATAATGGAGTAGCTTTGTTCAAAAGCAATATTTATTTTCCATGAAGATAAGAGACATATTACATTTGCTACAGAAAAAGCTATGGGAAGAAAAGACTGCATGCTACCAATATGACAAAAACACATAAAAACTCTACTTATGAAAGTGTTTCGCCCTATGAGAACATATTAAATGAAAGGCATTATTCCAGGTGAGTGAACCATACAGAAATGTGGATTTATTAGGATTTGTTTTGAAATGTAATTTGTACAGTAAGATTTTTATTCCTTTGATGGCAATGAAACTGATTTATTGACTAATGCTGGAAGTAAGATAGATATTTGATAACCAGGAGAGAAGTTTTAATAAAACATTCAGGGAAGAAAATGAAAAGTAAGTGAATATGTCTGCTTACATTTCAGCTAATAAATACAAACTACAGATATGGCTTTAACTGAAAAGCATACTGGTTATTGGAGCTTGGAAGGTCTATTGAAAGCTGGGTAAAACACTCTATAATTTTTCAAACTTACAGGTACAATATAAGTTGCAAAAGCTAGAGTGAGTGATATAACACACAGTTTGGTTTTGGTGCAGGAAGTCAATGTTTTCATAGGAAACTTGCAAGTTGTCATGAAGGAGAAGAGTGGTTCCAGATTACTAGTGTCTACCTCTGCTATTTCTGATCATGTTCTAGGATCTAGGGGACTGAACAATAGAATGTTTAATTTTGTCACTCAGTCTCTGAGGAGGAACACTGGGTACTTTTAGGGAAGTTTTAGAATGTACATTACAAGAAGCTTAACTGAGAAGAGATAAGCTACCTAAGGATAGTTGAAAACTTGGATCTCAAACAATTGTGGTTAGAGATCCAGGTGGATTCATTTGATACCACTCACCTTAACCAGCCCTGCCACATACCCTTCAGACAAACTGGTGGTGTCAGTACAGTCCTGGAATCATGGGAGAAATCAGTTTTCCATTTGATTTTCAAGGCAGGACAGAGTAGCCCTGCGATATCTTGATTTTGGTGTTTTCTCATATGTCTGGCTTCTGAGGCTGATGAATCACTTCCCACTTCTGGGGTCAGTCTCTTTGAAATAGACACAAAGGAGTCAGGGAGGAAAATTAACTTTAGATACCAGTAGCCAATGCAAAACAGTTTTCTAGTGGGAGAGCAGACCCAAATTTGGTTCCCATAATTCACAGTTGGCTCCTTAGAATATGCTTCACAGACTTGGAAAGAACAAGAGGCCCAGATGCAGTTTTCAACTGGCTCAGAAGGAGGAATTAAGAATGGTGAGAGAGTATATGAGTAAGGACTCACATCAACAAAAATTGGTGGTTTTATTAATGTAAAAAAGCTTTTATGCTATAAATAATCCACAGTTGCCTGCTAAATTTAAAATGCCACTGTAAATGTATACACACACATATATGTTTTATAAAACATATATATGAGACAGGAAAAATACATAAAATTATGGAAACAGTTTGTAGTGTTCAAACCTATTGTTAAATATGGACTCTATCAAGTAGTCCATCTAATTTCCAGTTATGTCTATACTTTAATGCTTCCTTTTTTGACTTTCAACTTCCCAAATCTTTCAAAGAACACCATTTTTAAGAAGGTCACACACAACTCCCATGTCATTCCTGAAATGACTTGCTTTTGTGGAGGAGTATTTGGAAAGAAAAAAAAAAGTCCTACTACAACTTATGCATTGTCTCTTGAAGGAGAATAATAATCCCTCTGAGAAATGTTTTGAGATAAGTATTAAATGAAGTAGGATGCCACAGCAGAATGCATAAAAATACAATTTACTGACTTTCTAATACTTTCATATTATGGCATGGTTTGGGAACAAGTAATCATGGACCACATTAGTAAGTGTGTAGTGCATCTCATGGGAAAAATGGCTAGGTATTTTCCTTTTTCTCAGAAACCATATTTTTTTCTTTTTTATAACTAAGGCATACACATGAGAAAAGCTCATCTTTTGGCTTTTCATGTGCAATATGATTCTTTAAGAGAGTAAGATTCAAAATGGTTTGTGATTCAAAATTTAAAAATAAATTCTCTTCTGAATTTCCTAAAGACATGGTTCATAGATTTGATACATTTCTTATTTTGGCAAAATATTGAGGGTCTAACTAATGCAGCCATAGGTAAGCTCTGGCATACCTGGTTATATATACTGAAGAAACCCTTTAATCTATTTACACACAGACATAGACATAGATGTACCCGTGTGTGTGTGTGTGTGTGTGTGTGCATGTGTATATCCTCACATACTCTTATTAAATGCAATCCTTTATTAATTTTATTGGTACATTTTAGGTATACAATATAATCACATTCATCATTGGAAATTTGTACCTTTACATAATCCTTAAAATAATTCTTATTTTTTCCCCATTCCTCTGCCCTCCCTAGGCTGACCCACTTGCATTCATTGCATTGCAGGTCTGTAAGGTAGTAAGCTCATTTTTGGGTGTGGGGGAGTCCCTTACTATAGCCTCCTTAAACTGAAGTTTCTTTCATGCTTAATATAAGTATGTGCATACTGTTTTATCGAGGTGGTCTTGAACCACATATACAATTGCATTGTTCATGGTGATCCAGCTGGATATCAACAAGAGCCATGTTCTTAGCTTTGCCCCTCTTTTTGGAACGGCCAGGCTCAAATTTTAATACCTAAAACAAGAAGCATAGTTCTGGTTAGTAAACTGTTAGACCTTAATTCATCTACATGCCACTTATGCCCTTATGATAACTTGTTCTTTATCTTTTAAGAACCCAACAAAAGCTATGGGCTTGGTATTAGAATGTGTGAGAGTAAACATATTCTTTGTATAATCAGACTCCCCGAAGTGTAGGATTTTACTAGTCCCAAGGTGGTGGTGTACCTGTGTCACCTACTAAACTACCACAGTGACCTCAGGCATCCTAGCAGGTATTCATAGTTTTCTACGGACCTGATTTGTGGCATGTGACATCCTGAATATATCATTATCCTTCTGACAAAAGGATGTGCCACAGATTAATACAATACTGAGCATATTATCACCATAGACAAGACAGTGAACAAAGTAGGAAGATAATATGCTGGTAGGAGTGAATATAAATTATTCCCTGAGATCATCAGGGGCCATAAATCAATGATGATACATTCACAGTGTTACATATTTGTGAAGATGCAAAGCCTTTTACAATTTAAAATAGTTCAGGCTCCACTAAAATCTTTGTGCATTAATACCTATGCATCAATGCAGCACGGTTTTAATCAATAAGTATATCCCCATTTTAAAAATTAATAAATTTAAACATAATTTCTTCAATTAGTACTCTAAATAGATATTAACCCTTCTTCCTTGGTGTGGTCTTCAGTGACTCAAACAGTATCTCAAGGATAAACATTTGGTAACATTACGTACTTGTTCTTGTATTCAGTTGTAAATCTTTTATATTTTTAGGTTCCTATTGGCCTTTTCTTTTTATTTTGTTCCATTTTTCTTTGAGACCCTAAACTCCATTATGGCATCTCCAAAATATTATGAAGCATTTTATGCTACCATAAATTTTTCAAATATATAATAATTTTGCTTTCAGATAAATCTTGTTTGTCACAGAGTGAAGGTAACATTATACTCATTTTACAGTTTGGTTGATTGAGGTTCTAATGGAAAAGTAGCTTGTCTAAGGTCTTCTGGTGACTTGGACGTCAGGCCAGGGTTTTGCTTACTAGACTCTGTGCCTACAATTTCCTTTTGTTTCTTAAGGGTGTTTCAGGCCAAGTGCGAAGTGCATTGGGAACCTGTTATGCTTTCCCTGGTATACTTAAGTCCTAGATGAAGTTCAGATGCAGGAGAATCTTGCTATTATGTGTGCGTAGTTTTTCATGACATTCCCACAGTTCTTTACTATCATTTGCACTCTCTGCCAGTTTCTCACTCTTACAATGAATAAAGTCTTAAAACAAGACCTTCTACAAGGAAAAAAAAAATATGCCCAAGGTCCTTGACACTCAGGTATCCTAGTCTGCACATTCAATTATCTTTTAGCCATGCTCTTCCAGAGGAGTTTCAATCAGGCAGAGAATAAATCACTGCACTTTTTAGATGTTGATTCAAACTAGGGATATGAAGTTTGCAAAAAAAAAAAAAATTGGGAGAAATAAATGGAACATCTAAGAGAGTTCATAAGGGAGGCACAAAGACCCCATAGTATTTATTATTGGTAAAGGTAGTCTAAATGCCAGCTTTTATAGCTAATTATATTTTTATCATTCATTTTCTGCAATTGCATGGCACTTAAAATATGTATCATATACACTTCTACATGGTTCATTGTGTGTTCTCTCTATTGTTTGGATTATAAGAGTCTAAGGTCAAAAACAGTAAGAACTAAGGGCTTACTAGATGATAGGCACTGCTGGGAGAAGTGCTACAAATATTAAATCACTTGGACTTCACTTCAGTAGGTGAGAAAAAGTGCTTTTTAATTTAATTCATAGGTTAGGAAAGAGTTTAAAGTTATTTTTTTTCTTTTTAAAATTTTATTTATTTATTTATTTATTTATTTATTCATTCCTCATTCAGTTTATTGGTACATTTTAGGTATACAGTACAGCTACATTCATCATTGGGATCTTGTACTTTACATGACAGGTCTTGGTTCTCATTTTTTCCCCTTGTCCCTGCCCTCCCTTCACCCCCTCATCCCCTCCCCATTTACAAACATTTTATTTCCATTTTTTCATTTTCTCCTATTTTTTTTCTTTCCCTTATTACCTTTCCCCTATCCTTCCCACTTTCCTTACACCTTTAGTCCTTTTCTTCCCATTTCACAATGTCAGTTTTCTCATTAGGATCTTATGTACTATTATAGTTTTTCACACCAGATAAACTATTCAGTATTTACACATTTGACTTATTTATTTCACTTAGGAGTATAACCTCAATATGTATCCATTTTCCTATGAATGAATCTAATTTCTCATTCTTTTTGATGAGTAGTACTCCATTTTATAGAAAAACCACATCTTCTTTATCCACTTTCCAACTGATGGGCAAATGGGCTGTTTCCAAGTTTTAACTATTACAAACTGTCCTGCTATAAATATAGGTGAGCATATATCACTGTGATATGATTCTTTTAATTCTTTTGGAAAGATACCCAGCCGAGGGATGGCTGGGTCAAATGGAACCTCTAGTCCCAGCTCTTTGAGGTATCTCCATATTGATTTCCATAGTGGTTGCACCAGTCTGCATTCCCACCAACAATGGAGAAGGGTTCCTTTCTCCCCACAACCCTGCCAACATTTGTTATTTTTTTTCTTGATAGCAGCCATTCTTTGTGGGATGAGGTGGAATCTCAATGTTGTTTTCATCTGCATCTTTCAAATGACCAGTGATGTAGAACATTTTTTCGCGTATTTATTTGCTGCTTTTACTTCTTTGTCTGAGAAATGTCTGTTCATTTCAGATGCCCATTTTTGAATCGGGTTCTTGCACAAGATAATGGCACCAATATGTGGTAAAACCAGAATTTGACTCCACATGGCCTAGGCTATGTCCTTACCCATGTAATCTTGTTGTACCTCTCAACAGCATAGTGGGGAGGCAGGACCTACTGAAGAACTGTATCTGAGTAAACTCGATCGGCAGTGCTAGCAAAGTAGAAACACAAGAGAAAATCTCCTGTTTCCTCTCTGCATTTCTCTATCTCAAACTCCAACAAACACAAGAGACAAAACAAAAAGGAAAAGGAAATAAGGCTGGGACCAAAACAAAGCAGCCCATGTTTTACACGTTTTAATTTTCACACAATTTTGAAACAAAATTGAAAGTACTGAGAGCAGAGTTAGGTTAACATTTGCTTTTTCCTGTTTCCATTTTTTTAAATCCTTCTGGGTGTTTACAGAACATAAAAGATGTTGCTTCTCAATGAAAAATAAGTGACCAAACCAATAGCTAAAATATATTATATTGGGGTATTAAACAGTCCTCCTTGTGATTAATATAAAAACACTATAATTCTACCTTTGGTAAGAGGGTTTCAGAAGGTGACCGTAATTTTGCCAAGAATTTTTCCAATATGTTAGTCACTGTCATCCAAGACTGTCTTTACATGAACTAGCTTTGGGGGCTGAGGTGTGTAGGGAAGAGAAACGGTTGCTGAAAAGCTAAACATGTGATAAATATTCTTTGTTTGAAAAAGACCATTCTGAAGGCCTAATAATTTGCGATGACTGGCATCTGTAGATGTGCTTTCTCATTTGATGGCAAAGAAAAGTGAGTGCTTTAGGATAAGAGCAAAAGCCCAGGTGGGTTTTCTAACTGGTCTTCTGAGTGTTCATGGATTTTTCCTGTGTCTTATATTAAGCAACACAAGCACAGTGTGTATGTGTTTTGCTGATAAGAAGAGAAAAATGAATTGGCAGACACTTTTCCCAGACAAGACAGGAAAGCACTATTTGAACAAAGTAAAAATTGGACTGCTTTACTAGCTGATCACAGCACTGATGTTCAAAGCTTTCAGACCATGTAATAGTCTTAGGTTCAGGTACACAGCATTGAAAACAGGAAGAAAGCAAAGCTGATTTGAGGGAGCAAGGAAAGTTAAAAGAAAAATGAAAAGCTTTTATCAGAGAAAGCAAACTGGCAGGTTATAGTTTATCGGGTCACCTTTAAAGGGAAGGAAGCATTGAATTAATTAGCGTGGCTGGAAGAGACGTGCTAATAGGTACCATCACAAAATGCTTTCCTATCTTCCAAGCTCTGATTCACAGCTGCAAGCAGACACACAGAAATAAAAATCCGCTGACGGGTAGCCAGGCATTTCTTAGCATCCATGGGTGAAAATGGAAATCTGACTCTTCTCCATCCCCTGGAAATCCACGTGAAGCCAGGAAAAATTGACATTCATTAAATGAGAGGGACTGAGTCAGTCAGTAGCTTTTATACCACTATACAAAATCAGAGATGCTCAGTTTTGCAAATTACCACATCATGAAAGATATTTAACTAAGTTACTTGCCTTCTTGCCCATAAAGCATTGAGTGAATCATTGCCATAAAGCTATTATACTAATGAAACAATACAGGGAGAAAAGCTATCTGTTGAGTCAGGGTCTTGTTTATTGGGAATATAAAAGAAGGTTGTTAAGGCCTTGTAACAGTTGCTAAATTAATGGCTGACATAGGAACATGAGTACATATTTCAGGCGAATGTATTGTATAAACCTGAATCATTAACAGTTTATTTAAGATTCTACCCAAATTCAACACATACACATAGTTGCTTATGAATAAAAAAGCTTCCAATTTTTGCCTCTATTTTGACTTCTTTTGTATGTAAAGGCCATGAAAATGTACATAGAATCAATATTTTTACAAGATGATAGTTAATTATGCTAGCACTTAAATTCTACAAGAAAAAATATGGAAGGACTGGTATCAACTCTTGACACAGTTCCCAAAGGAAGGATATAAATGACAAACAGCTCAGCAATGTTATGTTGAGAAGCTTGAAGGTAACAAAAGGTTACCTTCAGTCAGGGTTCTTAAATGCTCATGAACTCTAGAAATTCCATCTTTATATCTGTAGATATTTATTTGTAATAGAAATTTTCTCGGTTGCATTCTAGGGTGACTACGGGACATTTAGCTATGGTCCTATCTTCAAATAATGAAG